TTTTTTTTTTTTTTTTTTTTTTTTGTACTAGATGATGGTCAATAAGCCTAAGTTTTGGCTTCCAATCCATGCAACTGTTATTGTTTTAAACTTTTGCAGGCTGTTTTCTAAGGAATCTTTCTTATCACACTCCACTTGGAATTACTTTTGAAGTAATGAGCTGCATCTAACATTTATCCTTCAATTCATCATGAACCTTCTCATCCATTTAAAATAGCTTTCCTATTTTGAAAATAACTTTAAAAGAGAACTCCATTGTGGTGTGACTTGCACAGAAATTTGGCCATGCATAGTTTCTTGACATTCTTTCAGTGTGTTTGACTAAGTGTTATATTGTTTGTTTACTGACAGCTCATCTCAGTTCTCGTACAGTCTTACCTCAATATTAATGTGGAATATTGGGTTCAATGTTCCTTCCAGTGAGCATGATAGACTGGAATAGTGAATGATAAATGCTCTCTTGTGTAATCTCTTAAATTGTGTAGGTTTATCCTGTCTCCAATGGACATTCTGTTGATTTTGTCCATTCAGATAACTCAATGAAAGAAGATGCACAAAGTTCTCATCAATTGAGTAGACATGGGTATGACTCATTACTATGATAATCCTATCTTTACTCCTTCAACCATGTTCAAGATTCAACAATATCAAATGTGTTATCCATGGAGTCTTGTTCCTTGTTCCTTCTATGTCTAAACTTAAATATGCTTTTCGTTTTTCCATGTGGTTCCCCCTTTGTCTCTCACTGACCAGCATTCATCCACCACCTACCTTTGGTTCATCACCCAATTTGGAAGTCCTTGCTCTTCAAGCAAACAGATATCATCTTGAAGATGGAGACAGTGCTGCAAATCAAACATCACCTTCTTTTCGGTAAGAAATTTGATAGGTTAGCACTATCACTTGTTAGTCATATGATCTAAATTGTATCCTCTTTTATTTATTTTATTTTATTTTATTTTTTTCTTTTTTTTCAAGGCATTTGATGAACTATACCATGTATATTACTTGAGTGTTTTCATAGAGTCATTTGTTGATGTATTGATTGGATTCATTGTTAGTCCAAAATATCCTAGAAGAAAGTTTGTTCCTGCTTGTTAGGCTTAAATACAAACAAGCCTAACTCTGAGCTTTGCTGCAGCTTGTTTGGCAAATGAGCTGTGCCATAATGATCCTTCAAACTGACTACAAGTCCAGCTCATGTGTATCCTTGCCTAGCTGTGTTTAATAGTATGGTGGACCATGGAGGTCACAATATTTTATCTTTTTTGGTTCTCTTTATGCTTGAAAATCTGGATTTCCTATCTGCATGATATCTCTGCAGTAGCAAATGAAGAGCTTAATTCAGTGTTATTTGTTTCAAAAATTGTCTTTTTATAGACTGATTGAGGCTAGTTATAGTAATAGCTGCAGAATCTTATTCTCCTCTGTTTTTGCAATCTTATAGCCCCATGCACGAGATCACCTTTTCAACAGTTGATAGGCCTAAGCTTCTTAATCAGGTAGTTAAATCTCTTCCCCAATATGCATGTGATCATGTATTCTTAAAATATTTCAGATTACTCCTGGCATACCACATTTGTTTCTTACAGTAAAAGTGGTGAAGTTTGAATTTTAAATAGCTATTCATCTTTTTCTGTCATGATAAAGTTATCACTTGTGCAATTGCGTGAAAAGGACTGATATCATATAATTGTATGTTGGAGCTTTTATATAGGTGTTCACTGTTTACACATTTTGGTATGTTTTTGACTGCCTATTTCTTAACATGATAAAGAATGGATCCGCATGTGGGATGTTTCCCCAATTCTCTCTCTATCAGTCCTCTGCTTTCAGTGGTTGACAGGTATTTGGGATGATTTTTACAGTTAACTATCTTACTTGCTGAGATTGGATTGAATATTCAAGAAGCTCATGTGTTTTCCACTGTTGATGGGTTCTCTTTGGATGTCTTTGTTGTTGATGGTTGGCATTCTGAGGTATCTTCTTGTATCATATGCATTTCTCTGGTCAATATTTGTTGCCATGGTACTTGACATGCTTTATTGAAATTCTTAGGAAACCGAGGAGCTTAAAAATGAACTTCAAAAGGAAATTTTAAAGTCTAAGGTAGTACTTCTCCATATTACTTATTTTCATTTTGTAACTTCTGCTTTACCTTTCTCAAGAATGACATCATTATGCCATATGAGTGCATCTGTTGAGCTCTGCTGATCTTTTTTCTATTGATCAGTTCTTAGTATAACCTGTGCAACTAGTGCCCTTTGTTTTCATTTTATTTCCATATTGGTGAGCATGACATTTCTCAAAATTGTAATCATTTCATAGTTGACAATGTACATTATCTGTCCTTTTAAAGTTTAGTTGAATCAATCTTGTGTTGCTTCTTGCAAGTATGCTCGGCATTGTTGTGAAAGTAATTAAACTCATAAATAATTAAGTCGGAGGATGAGCAGATTTGAAGAGAAAGTCAGTCAGTGAATGTATAATCCAGATAGGTTGATATGCAGTTGTGGACTTGAGCTACCTAAGACTCAAAAAGTTAGTTCACTACACCACAACTTAGTGGATTGCCAAATGCAGCATGGCATTTTGCATTAATTCATTGTCCTTGAATTACTAATCCTATCCAGGTTTATATTAGATATAAAATGTCTACAATATCATATATTTTTACTTTGCCAACATCAACTTTTAAGTTATGGTTTTCTGCATCTCTGCTATATTTCTTAGTTTCAAAGTGAATCTATTTTCAATTTTGATGTTAAATTCTGACTCTTACTTTTTCTTTTTTTGGGATGAACTGACTCTTACTTTTAGAGTTTTAGTGTGCTTGAAAGGTTAGTTGCAAAATGTAAGTTATTAAAAGAGGAAAAAACGTTAATATGATTCACACCTATAAAATCCCTGTATTGAAGAGATGTATTGCAGACTGCTTTTTAATAGATGAATCTGGTTGCCTAATTTGTACTTTAGTTTGAGTTTTGTAACCGCTCAACAGGAGCAGTTTGTTTGAAACAGACTGTTTTGTTCAAAAAGACTGTACCTATGTTACTGCCTTTAGTTGATGGCTACTAACTCTCTGCAGGAGAAATGTTCAAATCAGAGTTCAATCACTGCTGTGAGTGAGCTTATCAAAGAACAGGTTGTATCCTTGCCTGGTTGCATAGAAATCCCTTCTGATGGAAATGTATGGGAAATTGACACCAGGCAGCTGAAAATTGAAAACAAAGTTGCATCTGGATCAAATGGTGATTTGTAAGTTTCATCATTTTCTAACCTTTTATTTAATTTTTATTGATTGTCTCTAAATCATCTCTTGAACTTCTACAGGTACAAAGGCACATATTGCAGTCAGGAAGTTGCTATCAAAATCCTAAAGTCTGAGCGTGTTACCACAGAAATGCTGAGAGAATTTTCTCAGGAGGTTTTTATAATGAGGTTTGTTAGAGTTTGTTCTCGTAGTTATGTGAGTTGTCTTTCCAGCAAATAGTCCTTTATGGTTTTTCTCTTTTAGATGCTTCTCTGATTGAAAGAAACCATTTTGCCTGACCAAAAAACAAAAGCCTTCATTTTACATTTTTCATATTACTCTTGGTTTTTCAAATGAAATTCCTTTTCCTGTCTTGATTCTTTTACTTGGTTTGCAGGAAAATCCGACATAAGAATGTTGTCCAATTCATTGGTGCATGTACACGGCCTCCAATGTTGTGCATTGTGACTGGTAAATTGTTGTGATGTTTTGCAGATATACTTTCCTATGTTTCATGTTTTTTATATTTGTTAATAGATCTAGAAATTTTGGGTTCCATATATTAGAGTGCTCTATATGTTGCTCTTTTTCATCTTTACCAGGTATAATTTAAAATCATTTAGCTAGAAAGGAACAATATTAGCATTGGAATGCAAAATTTGAGATTGACCCAAACTTACCTATGTAGTGTCCTTGGCATCTGTACCTGTATTCCCAATGCTAAACCGTATAGCACTTCGCCTTTTTATCCTCTGATTGTCATGTTTGCTGCTATTTGCATTTAACCACAGAGTTCATGGCCAGAGGCAGCCTGTACGACTATCTACATAAACAAAGAGGAACTTTTAAGTTGCCATCTCTACTCAAAGTAGCAATTGATGTTTCAAAGGGAATGAACTATTTGCACCGAAACAATGTAATCCACAGGGACCTCAAAACTGCCAATCTTCTGATGGATGAAAACGAAGTAAGAAAATTTATTATTTTTATATATTTTCTATTTTAATGTGTTTATATGAACTTTGAACTTCAAAACCTATCTTTTTTATACTTTTAGTCCTAGAAAAATTATATACTTCAATAGACCATATCTGGTTAAGTTATGCTTTTTTCTTTCCCTCATTATGGTTGTTTATTTTAAATTTTTTAGTTTATTCTCTAGGCCTCATCTATTTGCTGCTCCCAGTTTGTCATGTAGAGATTTTGCTTGTTTTAGGAAATTTTTGTTTGGTTTGGCTATGCATTTTCTGCATGTTTATGAGAAACCCACAGGATTTCTTCTATGACTGGTTTTTATTATCTTAATGTGGTAATCTTTTTCTTCTTCTTCTTCTTCTTTTTTTTTTTTTTAATTTGTTTTGCATTTGGAATGTACTATTCCTCAGAATAGTGACATTGGTGAACCTGGTTGCAGTTGGTAAAGCTCTGGTCAATGAAGTCATTATGGTGATCGAAATTAATTTGTGAAAAATGGAACTAAAGAAGCTTATGTTTATGTTTAGAGAACTTATTTTTATTGGTCTTGTAACTTCGGGTCTGCCCTTGACAGGTTGTTAAAGTTGCAGATTTTGGTGTTGCCAGAGTGCAGTCTGAGTCTGGAGTGATGACAGCAGAAACAGGAACATACCGCTGGATGGCTCCTGAGGTATGCATTTTTCTTGGGCATAATGGTTCTTTTACACATTCTTTTCAAGACAGAAATTCTCAACTTGGGTAATCTTTCTAGCAAATTTTCTTGTTTTATATCACTTTTGTGACCATTAAAGTACATATTAGAGTATTCAGGATTTTCCTTATCAGGAAAAAGTGCTACTTTTTGGCTTTGTTACTCCATTTTATCAACTTGTTTGTGCCTACTTAGTTGCGTTGATTTAATTAGAAGTATGTCCCAATGGAATATATTTATGCCTCTCAGAGACAGTTGCGACAGTCTGCTCTTTAGCTCATTAATGAAAGATTGGATGCATCTATGACCATAAGAATACAACCATGGAACTACCAAGGGTTTGTTACTACTACTTTAATGTAGTTGGCAATTCCATCTGTGGTTTTGCCTGATGACTGATGAGACTGCTGCAAATAGGCTGAATTCTCTAACACACATTCCTTACATGAAAAAGGAGCATTCACAACCTATTTTATTTTTAATTCATCTTCATGGAAATACCATTAACTCTAAATCTCATGAATGGAGTGGTGAAGATAGGCATTTCAATTATCACTTCCATGAAGAGGACAACATATAACCCTTTAAATGGTGAAAATGAAGTGATTAATTTATCTGATGCTATAGAGAGAGGTGGTTCTTGAGTTTTGAAAAGGAAACTATTTGACCTTCTCTTTTTTCTTTTTCTTTTTTTTCCTTTTTCTTGTTGTCTTTTGTTTTCTCTCTTCTTTTCAACAGCTTAGCCTTTTTAGGGACTGGGAGGGTTTATGTGATCTTGACCTGATGGGAGTTACTACTTACATCCCTAGTGATATTGTCCGTGTTCTCAGATTATATGGCTGTGTTATATAGTTGCTTCATTAACAGAGACATGACTGTGTCTTCTAAGTTCTAAGCTGGAACAAAAAACTGTTTTTACCATTACCATCCGAATTTATGTAGGTCATTGAACATAAACCATATGATCATAAGGCAGATGTTTTCAGCTTTGGAATAGTGCTCTGGGAGCTTCTGACTGGAGAGGTGAGCCTTATTATTTTGAGAGTACTGAATATGTATGGCATGCTTATGTGTCTTTTATTGGTAGCTTTTACTTCTGGTGCAATCTCTCTGGGCTTGAAATTGCATACATCTTTGTGACTCCTATTTGTTGGCCTTTTTGTTATTGAAATGCCAGCTGCCCTATGCTTATTTAACTCCACTACAAGCAGCAGTTGGCGTAGTGCAAAAGGTATTCTTGTTTCTATAGTAATAAGAACTGTGAATGTTTTCCTCATTAACAAGGGCAGGTCACTTATGACATTCATTTCAGGGTCTGCGCCCTGCAATTCCTAAGCACAGTTATCCAAGACTAGCAGAACTGCTTGAGAGATGCTGGCAGCAGGATCCGGCTCAAAGACCCAACTTCTCTGAAATTATTGATATCCTTCAGCAAATGGCAAAGGAGGTACAGTATTTACAAGACTAAATTTCTTCTTTTTCGTTTTTTTTTTTCCCCAAAATAAATATATTCTACAATTTAATCCCTTATTTTAATAACTTTTCACACTTTCCTCAAAGTTTTTACATAAAAAAAACACTAAGCTTATATACACCTGTGGAAATTTTTAGAATTTTAAATTTAAAGCAACAAAGTTGAAGGGTATATTAACTCTTTCATAATAATATATTTAATATGGGAAGTAGATATTAATCAACTAGCCTGTTTTGAAACAGGTAGCAGATGAAGGGCGAGATCGCCATAAGAGTAAACCTTCTGGCAATTTTTTCTCTGCTATTATGAGAGGGCACCATTGAATGTCACGGGGAAACTCAGTGCTGCTGATAATGCATGCATAATCGGCTTGCGTGTGCGTTCTCTCACCATATACTCTTTGCATCGTACAGCATTATGCATGATCGGCAACTCCATTTTAGCCTTTTCCTTGACATTTTCCTTATGCTTTCACCCATTTCTTTTTCATTCTTCATTTCCTCATATCCGTAATACTTGCCTTTACATGTTTTTGGTGCCTGATTTGGAGTAAGCACGGTATTAAGGTTCTTTTTTGGTAGGGAGTTTTGGACAAGCTGTAATGTGAGTGGTAGTGCCCACGAGAAATAGAAAAGGCAAAACATATACATAAAAATAAAGGGGAAAATGAATAAGCAGCTTTTAGCGATGAAATACTTTGAAAGTTACATACTGGATAAGCCTTCAATTGGCAAGCAAGAATATCTCTCTCTCCAATTACAATGTTAGTGTTAGGTAGCAAAGTGAGGTACTACTGTACTAGCTAGAAAGCAGATACTTGATTATTTGTGGTGAAACACGGTCAGAGGTGCGATGAATAGTCAGTCATCTCTAGACTTAATCAGGAGTTGTTGTGCTCGAACCCTCACCTGCAACCGGACTAGAGCGTGCATGCAATGCAAGGCTATCCGTGCTTGTTTCCTCACGTATGCCCCACGAACCAAAGCTTGCATCTTAACCAGGCTTTTCAATGCTCGGTATGCCCTTCTTGCCTGTCAAAATTTTAAGTTAGCAAACGACCTAGAGGAAACCTGATTACATTACATTTCCATTATAAATTGAAAACAAGCAAAAACAAGTCATGAAGAAAGACGCAATTGGGCTAAAGGCTAAGATAAAATACAAGATGACCCCTAAAAACAGCTTGTATTTTGGTTGCTGCACTATCTTCTCTGGTTATCTGTTTCCTTGGAGGTGGTATTGGTCTTGATGAAGATGGAGCTGAATCCTTGCATTCAAGATTAGCACTTTTTCCTCTAGCTGCCTCTGTGATGATCGATTGGTCGCTGAGACTCGGGCTGTAGAGGATGTTGATATTTGTATGAGATGTTTTTATAAACCTTTTCCTTACTGAACTGAACCAGTTTCGAGGAGCACCCATTTTCCCTCGGCTGTTCAGGTTCTTCTTTGAACTGGTTTCAGATTTATTGTTTTCTTCACTGAAGAGGGCAAGCCAGAGGAAGAGGTCGCTTGAAGGAAGGGATGAGTGCGACCCATATTATTCCCTAGTGGCTGGTAGTGACTGTCAGAACCTGAGAACGTGGTGGAATGATTCGTCTGCCACTGTTGTGTGTGAGTCTGAAGCATTCCACCAACATGGCTAGAAGTTTCAACCAACCTATAAAGTAGAGAGGTCCAACCATTCTACGATTTTATAATTATCACTTCAGTGTCCTTATTACAATAAAACGGATAACAACCATTGTCAATTTGTTACGTTACTTGTGTACTTTGTAGGTTTAAGTATTCCAGACTTTGAACGGTCCGCTTCGGTCCAATGATATCAGACTCTGAGTTAGGGCTGTTCACTTTTATGGGTTGCACGTTCGAGCACCATAAAACTCCTTTCTCTTCTCTCTCAATTAACCCTGTAAATAATTATAAATTGTTTAAAAATAAAAAAATATTCCAGACTTTAATTCCCTAACACCTGATTGAGGTTACTATGTGTATCAAATAAGATTAAAAAAATAAAAATAAAATCATGTTCTCATTCGTCTTCAATCACAAAAAATAAAAAATAAAATAAAAACCATTAACATCCCTAGTTAACAGCTTTTTACAGTTTTATAATTAGTAAAGTAGTAATATGTTGTATGAAAATTAAACCACATGAATGTGGTTTTATCATTTTCTCATTCCTTTAGTAATATGTTGCATGAACATTTTCAGTTTAGAAAGTTCCAAGTTATGGCCCCCAAAAGTAAAAACACATCCACCCCCATCTAAAAGCCTTAATTCAGATCATTGGTTGGCCCAAACTGACATTCACCATATTTTCATTTTCCCTTAGTCTTATTCTATTCTCTGTGAACAGAATGTCAAAAGCTCATTTTTGAGCCATATGTTCAAGAACAATTGTGATCTGCACAGATCAAACAAGAAAAGAGGTTTTATTTACAAAGTTTACAAAGTCCATTCTCATACATTTCCTCTTTTTGCTCGTCGTACATGGTCCCTCTTAAGTCTTAAGTCACTTTTCTTAGATTTTGTCTGTGGCTGTGACTTTATTATATTGGCGTCCGTAATTTCTACCAAGCCTTGCATCAATGACATCACTCTGTTGGAAGTCCGTTCTGCTTCCAGGCCGCAAATCCACCCGCAATATCAGTAACACCAGTAAAACCCTGGGAAAGAAAAACAGGTTCTAAAGATAAGAACTCTGGATATCTCTGATGTTGATATTCAACTAACCTAAATGCTTATTTTCTACCCCAAAGTCCAAACAAACATCATTAGCTTACAGAGGCTACAAGATCGGTCGCAGCCATCATAGACCTCTTACCACTCTGACAGCCCTGTAAAACCAACATCAACACCGGAGTAACGTAATTTGAAGGTTGGAACTGGATCAGGTTTTATTAGGTAAAGAAACTCACAACAATGATTTCATCATATTTTCCAAAATGTGATGACACCTCCTTCAGGAAATCCGGGTTCTTTATCATCCCTTCATGGGGGGCAAAAAAAAGAATTTAAAGAATAAAAATGGGAAATTTTGGAGAAATTAACAGGAATTAGCTGTTAAAGGAGTTTGTATAAAACCTGTTCCGAGTTTGTACATGTAAGGTACATTAATAGCCCCAGCGGCATGTCCAGCACTGAACTCTTCCGGGGTTCTACAAAGATATGAAAAATAAAATCATTAACAATCATGGCGAATCAACAGGCTTTAGTTCCAGACCAATACCTGACATCCAAGTAGCGGTGCCCGGCTTGAAGAAGCTCGTTCGCGACCCTCACTGGAACCGAAGTTGGAACTCCGGTTGCCTCCGTTTTTCCTCTCAGAACCGCCTTTATGCTTCAGATACAGAAGAAAAAAGTGTATTTATAAATCTAAAGGGAAAGAAACAATGTTCGGTTTTCTTTATTTTCTTGAATTCCATACCGGAAACTCAAATTCTTGCGGGCAACTGCGATTCTACATCGCCGGGGATTCACTGTAACCGAAGACAGACCCCTGAAAAGATATACATGAACTGTGTTTAAAGTACTCGAAACAGAGTAAAATTAATTAAACCGGAGTATATATAACATACCTGTGATCGAGACTTTGAGGACGGAGAAGCGGCGGATAAAGTAGAGAGCTGGTGGCGAAAGAAGAGGAGGTGAACGACGTTGCTTCCATTTTTCTTCTCTAAAAAGCTGAAGCAGGAAATTGGTGGTATGGGGGGAGACGATTATGGTTA